CACAACAATGCATATGGAAAAAATTCACTATGTAACAAAAGAAAACTACTAGAAAGCTTATCTAAGAGAATGTTGATCATGACATTATTTGTTGTACAATTATTGACAGTCAAAATAGACAACTTACGATTGATATTCCAATTCAATAAATAGTCCATCAATGATGTACACAGTGCCCCAGACATGTGCGAACATGACCCACATATGAACCTATATTAAAATAAAAGCAACATAATTATGACAAAAATAATTATTAAATAGTACATTAAAATAAGTTAATTAATTTATGCAAGATCAAAGTACCTCATAATATGACTTTGAAGTTCCCAAGCTTCATCTATAAAATGCACAGTAATAGCCATGAATCATTCTTCTGATTAGAAGTCCACGTGTCTGTAGTAATTGTAATTTAACAATAGTTCTTCTCCAATACGCACATTACTTTCTCGTAATCATAAATTTTCAAAATATCACTCTTTATAGTGTTACGAGAAACGTTCTTCTTGTTATCAACGTTTCGTAAGCATTTATAAGATTTGGGTTACAAAAGTTCCATTGAAAGTGGAATTTTAAAATCTAGTCACTCTTACTTGCAAATCTAGTCAATCCACTATTACTTGTTCGGTCCTATAACACGATTCAAGGTTAAAAAAAAAGTTCAAATCAATGAGACCATGTGATGAGAAATTCTAGATTCATTCCAAGAATTTAATACTTGAACAAATAAATTTGGCGATTCTTAAAATCACAGCATAGGAGAGTAGGATCTACTAGTTTCTAAGTTTTCTTTTTTCATCGTATTTCCGAGTCTCTGGACGCTGTGAATTCTTTTTTATTCCGTTAGCTAGAGGTCAGGCTTAGCCCCCTCCTAGAAAAAAAATAAATCTTCATCAGTTATTCAATAAAACAAAGTTCACCACAGCTACCATTCATTACAGGGAAATTTAAATATTTTCCTTACACCACCAGCAGTAAACCCTACTAGGATGGCTCGGACTAGTAAATTTGTTTCAACTAGTTTACTTTAATACGAGCTATCAACAAGCAAATGCGTTTGAATAAGAAAAATATTTGCAAATGTGGTAACTTCATTAAATGAACATGAAATTGGCAATACCATCTGCACTCCCAATCATGAAAAAATCAGCAGCTGAAACTGCAACGTGTTACCAAATCGCGAATACGATGACTAGAGACGATGGACGACGGCAAGGAATTGTCGAATGCACAGTTTGTTTTGGTGGAAATTGAAAATAATCTCTCCAGTCTCCAAATGGGAAAACCATCGCCGCCTCACCTCACGTAAGATTGAATGAAATTATGAAATTGGGATTCTGGCTTCTGGGTCTAGGAAATAAGAATTGATTTGTTCCTTTAATCCTTTGGGGTCACAAATTAGGTAATGGGCCACTAGGGGCGGAGCCAGGATTTGATCGTACGGGGGGCTAAAATTTTTAAAATATAATGTACGAATAAAATTTATATATAACTAAAAAAATTGTAATATAACATTACCTATTACAATTGTACCC